ATGATGATGATGATGATGATGATGATGATGATGATGATGATGATGATGATGATGATGATGATGATGATGTTTAGGTTGCGGGCCTTTCTATGTAATTGATGTTCTTGTTTACCGACGGTGATATACATGGTAATATAGCACTCTCCCCAAAGCATGATGATATCAGGAGGGACGGAGTCATGATAACTGATCCGATGATGTGGCTGGTCACGGGGGGGAGAAGCTCTGGGCCTTGGGATTTACACTTCCGACTGCTGGAGATGGAGATGAAACACATCGCCTTCCCTGGTCGAATCAGAAACTCTTCTTCCAAATCACTTCATCTGCGGCATCAACGACTCATCGATCTAGATACTGTCCTTTAGAGCCCAAACATTGACCTCTGTTTTGATAGGAAGCTTCGCCATATTTTGGATAGTTCTTCCTCCCAAAGCAGGGGTCATTTTCTGGGCTCGGCTGGATGTAGAAGTCCAGTCCGGCTGTTTTTGGCACCCCGCAAGTAAAGGAAATTGCCTTTTTGGATCACCTAGTCAGACCTTTTCAAGAATGGTCGACTGGACTCCCAGGGTATATATATATATATATTACCCTGGGAGTGAAGGAGTATTTAAAAAAATGGTCGTAAGGGGCCTCAAAAGGGAACTTCCTTTACTTCAGCCAGTCAACATATGGTCGAACTGGACTTCAGCACGCCGGGAACGGCCGAGAGGCCGAGGGGCTGAAACTGCTTCACCGACTGCTGTGCCTGTGCTGCTTGCTGCGAGAGTTGAACTTCATTGGCGCACGCAGCCTGGCAACACTGAGCTCTCTCACACCGCGCGCACCGCGAGCGCGCACCGGCCGCGGTGTGCCCGTTTGCGGGAAAACCCGGGTTCCGCCCGCGGAGCGCGACGTGACCGTTTGGGGGACATTTATGGAAAGTTGCGTGTTGTCATCATCAGTGGGTGTGACTACCCTGAGGCACTTTCTCCCGAAGTGGTCAGGAAATTCGGGATGACTTCGCTTCTGGAAGCTTCTGTTCTTCTCAGGTGCTGCGCGGTCGGAGCAGTCCTTGGTGGAAGAAGATCTGATGTTCATGAATTCGAGTCCAAGAAAACCGTCAACTCAAATGCTCCGTAGCCCAGCCCAGGCCTCGACAGCTTGCGCAGCCGCAATGGCTTTGGAGGCCAGATCTGCTGCATCCTTATGGGCCTAACAGTGGCACGGCTCCGGCTCCACTCGACGGCTCGTCACGCAGCTCCAGCACAAAACGGCAGCTCGCCGGTGGAGGATGGTGGAATGGAACCCACCACGTATTGTTCCACCGCGGAAGACCAGTGGCCCGCGGCATTTCTGGGGTTTGGGTTCTTCGGAGAGGCAGGTCAGACATGGCAGGTCTTTCACCAGGTAGGGAGAGCTGTGACATACCGTGACATTCTTTAGCCAAGAATTGCTGAGCTCATGCAAATGGGCAGACTGGCGCTGAATGGCACAGCGGTATAGCATTTCAAGAATGGGCCCCTTTTTTGCCGTCGTGTGACTTCCATTGAATAAAGAGTCACCATTAATTGTGTTTGTACATTGTACATCGATTGATGATGGCCCAATGTTTCACAAGCTGCTGGGCCTCTTGCAAAAATGACTCGATGATCTCAAGCACGCTTTTGATTCGTTAAAGAAATTATCTAACATCTTCAGTTCGTAAAAATCACCCCACTTTGCACGGTGGCCTTCGAGAAGGCACCCACTCGATCTAATCACAGTTTCTGTACGCAACGAGAACGAGCCGCACCTGTTCTTTGGCATAGTCCGCCGCACGAAGAGCCGCCTGTACGCCGTGCGCTCCGGACTCCACCCCGCGGATAGCCCCCACAGGCCCAGGGTTCCGCGTTCGTCTTGCACGAGAAAGGTCAGCACCGGATGACGGATGCTGATCAGCGATGATCGTCCGGACGAGAAAGGACCGTGGTTGTGAGGCTTTTTGTTCTGGACGAAACAACGAGTAACGACCGGACCTGGCCGAAGGCATCGACAGACCACAAACCAGGGCTTCTTTCAGGACAAGAAAGAATATACCAGCTGCTGTTCGGGGTTACCAGGCTGGACAGCCCCATCCACTGCTTCACCGGTCACCAGACAGGACACCGAAGCGCTGGGTAGAATCCTCGATCTTCATGTGCATCTTTTGACCAAGGACTCCTTGGGCCTGTAGTCCGGATCCTTCACACCAACCAGCACAGAAGTGCACGCGGCCAAAAAGGGAAAACATACAGGTGCGCAACGCACCCTGCAACCGGTGGGAACTTGGGAACTTGGAATATACCCAAACACTCCATGTTGGCATATGTATGCCATATTTGCCGATCAGTTGGGGATGGTTTGGGGGGTCAATGTAGGCATATATATGGCATACATGGAGTGTTTGGAATATAGTTTGCACTATACAAACTCGGGTGTTTTTGCACATGGGGCAAATGAACAATATAATTGTAACAAAAACACGACTCGCGACGCACCATTCGGGCCTATTTTTTTTGCGAGTTTGTTGCCTTTGGGTCCCATGCATTCCCTAGGGATCCAGTCATACCGAACCTCAGCAGGTGATGTGTTCGACACCACTATGCAGGTGCCAAAACGTCGGGTCCAGTCGTACCGAACCTGAGGTTTGGTACGAAAACGGATCTCTAGGGATTCCAGTCCCATGCATTGTTTGGGTTTGGTTTTCTATCTCCGAACCAAAACGGTTTGGAACCCCGGACCGGTGGCCCCGGGTGTCCAGCGAAGCAAACCGAGACCGAGACACTCGTTGGTTGGGAAGCACTCGAATCCATTGATGCAAAGGAACAATTTGTAACTGTTCACCCAACTCTTTACAGCTACATTCCCCAGACAGTTCCATATGTATGCCGCCTACTGTAGGCATACATGGAGCGTCTGGGTTCGGTCTTTGATCTTCTTTGATCTCTTCCACTCAACTCTTTTCGTCCGATTCGCTCGAATTGCTCCGGGCCGTTCCGTCCCTCCTGATCCCCCCGAACGAACTCGGCATCTGAGTGCTCCAACGAACTTGGCTTGATCTGCCGCAGCTCGCAGCTTCTGAGCTTCCTGGATGGCCTCCACAGTTGGACCGATGACACCATGAAATTGACCGCAGTCACTGAGCTCTATTCCACACATCGAACCAACACCACTAGAAACACCCGCAGCCGAAGCGTGTGGTCAGTACCTGTTCCTCCCCTGGGTCAATGGGGCGGCATATATGGCAGTCCCATGGAGTGTCTGGGTTATATGACTTCCATCCAGGACGCTAAGATCCTAGTGACTGGATTGTGTCATTTTCCGGAAGAATGGGATCTTTAACTGTCCACACACCGGTCCGGTCCGCCGGTCCGGCCCGCCCCCGGCGGGCATAAACGACGGGACAACGCGGGCGCCTGATCTCGGTGCACCTTGGCATCATTGGCTGCGGCGGTGAGCTGTGCCGCCCGCGCCTACGAGACCGCGCGGTCCGAAACGTGGCCGTGGGCACGATCCGGAAGGATGGGAGGCGATGGATGGTGCTTTACAGCTGCGGCAGTGATCTCCACATCCGACGACACGGAGCTGATGACATCTGTTTGAACTGGTTCTTGCCACCGAACATGAACAGAATAGACCACCGACCTATACACTCCCTGGAACTAACATGATTACGTGGAGAATGGCCCCCCGAAAGGAAGACCATGAAATCCACTACAAACAGGTGGTTGTCCACTTCCATGTTAGTTCCAGAGTATATGCTCTGGGAGTCAAAGACTATAAAAAGAATGGTCTGACTAGGGGACCTGATTTCGGGAACTTCCTCTACTTCAGCCGGTCAAAGTATAGTCGAACTGGACTTCTAGGGTATAGACATGGTCACCATGTCCCAAAGTTTGGAGCTCCAAATTTCGACCCACCCGGGAACCGTTGGACCGGGTTTCACACCACGCCGACAGGTCAACCCGATCCGGGAGTCGGTCACAGCCCATCCGGTGGACCTTCAGGCACCTTCCACATCAAGATTTGGAGGCTAGTGGTACAACCTGGAACCCCCCAAAAACCACTGGGTTGGTCAACGGTTGGTCTGCTTCCACATGGTCGATACTAGAGGGTTGCCCCAGGGGCAGCAGGGACATGTCAGGTACTCTCTCCTAATCAGAACAGAGAACATGTGGCAAACTCCATGTGGTCGTACACCTCCATACGAGGTGAACCAGACGGGACTCACCAGGAATGACCAAGGCAGACAAAAAAACACCAACAGACCAGCGTCTTCAGTTCGTGACCTTTTGAAGGTTCCTATAAGTGACCCTACTCGGAGGCTTAAGTAACCGAACCAACCAGGTTATCAAAAGGTCACTTTGAAGAACCAGGAAGAAAACACCGCCGGTGCCTCCATCTTCTTATGTTCCTCTGCAGCAGCCACTTGCTTGGCCTGAGCATCACGAGCCGCTGCCTCACTGGCGTCCTGGCGTCCAGCAACACCGGCAGCACAGGTTGCCTATGGGCAGCGCTTTTCAATATAGGAGACAGAGAGAGAGAGAGAGAGAGAGAGATGCTTTCGGATCTCTTCGGGTCGATGGACCCCCGAACGCCTATTTGAATATGGATTGAAGACCAAAGAACCGGTGTGACTTTTACGGAGTCTGCACTTCAAAACCCGGGTCAACCCGTTGGAAGATTGAACGGACGGCTGCTAGAGAGCAGGTGCTTCACGCAATTACAACCTCTCTCGACCGAGGTTGCTCTTGTTGCCCGGCAATTCATCAAACCCAACCCCCCCAACGCCCCTGTGCTGCCTGACCCTATATACTGGATGCCTTTGTTCGAAGCCCTCCTTCCTTCTTTTTGGGAGACCACTGAACCCGAGACCTTCCTCTCCTGGAACCGAGCCTCTCCTGAGACTTCTTAATCTCCGCACTCAGTCGGATCTTCTCAGCGTCCTTGGACTTCAGCGCTTCCTGGCGCCACCACCCGGTGTGTTTCAACACAGGCGACCGCGAGCGGAGGAAGTGATCCGCGGCGTCTGCATCTGCTTGGCTCCGGGAAGAGCGGGGCCCAACTCCGGATGGTCCTTTTTGGCAAAGAAAGCGCTCAGTGAAATTGGGTCACTAGGGGATTTCGAATTCCAGCATAGAAACAGCATTACTGTACTAGAAACGAAGACTGGCGATTCCGGAAGGCATGGTGCCACTCCGCGGGCTTTTAACATCTAGCCACACTGGTTTTGCGCGGCGTTTTGGAGTCGAACGACGGTGTGGCCGCGGGGTGTTTCGGGTGGACGACGGCGTCCTGCATCCGTTGCACCTCAGCAGCCAGGGTCTGATTCTCATGCTCGCTCTCCTGTAGCTTCAGCCTGGGTCGTCTCGTGCATCGCTGCATCGCTTCGGAGGTGTCCAGCGGCGGTTGAAGGGCCCATGCGTACGAAGACAGGTGCTAATCGGTGAAGGTATAGCTGTCTTGCGAACACCAATTCGATAGAAACGATGTCTACTTTGGAGGGAATTTGTTTGTTTGAAGGGCTATATATATATATATCCAATATATGTTTGAAACAGAAAAGCATGGAACCGATCAAGATGAAGTTCCACTGTCTGGTAGTATTTACAATTTACATCCATTCTTCATGCTCAGTTGCCTGGAGAAGAATGTGAACCGAACTGTCCAGCTCTTCATCCCTAGCCCCTCGGGCTCCGAAACTGTCCCGCCCCCCCCCCAAACCCCGGTTCCTGGGGCCGGGGGGGGGGGGGGGGGTGGTTGCCAGCAAGGTCTGTGCCCACCGAACTTGAGGAGATGGGCCAGGAGCCTGCCGGGTATCTTCAGTGGGGTCTCCCTCCATTTCTCCAACAAAAATGCAGGTCATCCATGGTCATCCAGTCAGCACTCCGAAACGGAGCTAAGTTCCCGACGAGAGGACCTTCTCGTTGGTGGCTTGCGCCTCCAAGATTTCAATGCGATCCTGCGAGACGTTGAACGTTGGCTGATAGAAGTTGGAATTGAAGGACTGCTCAACAAAGACAACCAAATTAGCCGGTTGTAAAGTTGTATAGCTAGATTGGTAAAGATCTTTACCCTCTGGGGTTGGATTTGTTATCATGTTGCTGTCCAACTCAAGCCATAGCCATGCTATGTGGCCCGAACCACTACCCAAGCACATCGGCCGTCTGAACGAGACAATCGATCCGTACAGTGGGAGGTGAACGCGACCAGCGAGCTCGCACACACAGCGAAGGAGTCTGACATGACACGACAAAGCTTTGAACTGATGCAGTACCCTAAGAATCCGGGCCCTCAAACAGATAGGGTTTTGAGGGTCCAGGCCCCTGCTATGGAGGGTCCGACCCCTGCCATGGAGAGCCCAAGGATTCTTAGGGTAGTCTCCAAGGAAACTCACATGGAAGTGGAGGTTCACCTCCTGTTTGTAGAGACAGAGGGACGTCGATTCAAGGGCGTATGTTCCACTTCGATCTTAAGGGAGTGTAAACATGTTTAAAATCATCACAAAGGGTGGCAAGGCAACATCAACATTCCAAATGCGTGGAATAGGTGGTTCCACAACGGGCTACTATCCAAAGCCTACCGACCCTCGCAGATGAACATTTCTTGAGCTATATCTTGGGTCTATCCTATGACCAGGGCCCAGTGGATGATGGTGGTTAGTTTAGTAAAGGCCTTGTTCAAAATAGTTATGGGGTAAAAATAGGACAAACCGAAGCTATATCCACTCGGACACTTCCTCCACGTCCATCAGGCACACGTCCATGAGGCTTGACGGTTCAAGCTCAAACGACACCCCGTGGTGTGGCCATCCATGTCTTGGGGTGCCCCATACAAATGGATGCAACAAACCTATTCTCTCTTCATCTCTGTCCCACACCCGTCTTCTGCATGACAGATTCGACCGGTTTTCAGCAAACTATGCAGCAGCTGCGGCAGTTTCCTCATTTATGCTAGAATCAAATAGACTGATCTCAACAAGAACATTCTGGAGACCGTATACCTTGTGGCCTCCACCAGCACGAGCCAGCAGGTCACAGAAGGAGAAGTCAGTTGTTCAGCACATCACTCTCCCGTCATAGTGATATCTAAACAAAGACCTTGTAACAGTGTAAGCGATGTAAGCGGGGCGTACGAAGAAGACCCTGTACTAGGACCTTGGCCTTCCAAGTCCGGTGAGTGCCAGGACCTTGACCTTCCAAACTCCGACAGTCCTTGAGGTTCTTTTCATCCGCTTCCATCAAGGGCATGATCTCCTTCAGCTGCTTCTCCCTGCAAAAGAAACGAAGGTCTTGCAGGTCGACGGCATGATCTCCATCGAGGCAAAGCTTATGTCTTACCGTTCACCAAGTCCCAACATGCTTGCTTTCAAGCGTTTGTTTCATGTGTAACATATCACATCATCATGGTTCATCCCAATCCACAACACGCAGAAAAACAACCAACCAACCAAGCAACCAGAGGTCCAAACCTCTCTAATCTGATCAGAAACCAAACCACCATCTACCACCAGCATCAGATTTCTGCCGATGTCATGTCGCCTCCGTCGTTCACGCCACGAGCTGCGAAACACGACGGACCACGGTCCCTTTGTAACCTGAAAAGACCCCAAAGTGATACGCTTCTCTGCATAAAATGCAGTGGAATGCGGACAGGTTCCAGTGTTTCTATCGGATTCGATTCTGAGGACCTGCCTTGTTGGAGGTTCTTTCAGCTTTCAGTCACAGCGAGTTGACAGACGAAGAAAGGCCACACTCCGTGTGGTGAGTGGCCAGATCGAGCCGCGACATGAGATCCGGGTCCTTAGATTTGCTTCACGTGGATTTGCTCAATAGGAACCGGGCAAAAACACCTATTTTCCCCCAGGGGCTCACAGGAAAAATACAACAATCAGCCTAATATAGACCCCCAAATAGATAGAAGATGATAGAAGTTCGTGGATCCCTACGTCGAACATGTATTGGAAACTGATGGAAACCGTGCTTCCACGGCCACTACAATGCCCAAACACTCCATGTATGCCATATATATGTATATATATGCCTGACCCCCTTTCAGCCACCCCAACTGATCGGCACATATGGCAGTCCCATTAGTCGTGTCTGGCATTGGGTCAAAAACTACCACCGTGCTGGGTGAAGATCTAAAACTATCCCAAACACTCCATGGGACTGCCATAGGACTGCCGATCAGTTGGGGTGGTGCCAGAGGGCCCAACTGATCGGCACATATTATGGCAGTCCCATTAGTCGTGTCTGGGTCTCTTCATCACGGGATCCTCGATCGCGCCCTCCGTCGGTTGTGCACCAAACTCGAGGGCGCCAGCCAAGTTTGGCAGCGCGGCGCGTTTTGGGCCACCGAGCCGCACATGGAACATGAAAACACCTCCCTAGGGCTCCAGTCGGACCTTCTTAGAAGGTGGGACTGGGGTGGGTTTCGAGGGTCCAGTCATACCTTCTAAGGAGGTACGACTAGAGACCTAGGGCCTGGGTTGTAGAGGACACTCATCTTCCGGTGGTTGGCCGGTCGCCCGGTTGCAGGTCTAACTCAAGTGACCTCTACAAACCGGCTTTCGCCACACTGTGGGGGATCGCCAAGGATTACTTTGAAGAAGCAACAGAAGCACAACAACGCCTGGCTCATCGGGTGAAACCACCAAAACGCAGGCTGGCGTTGCCCGGAGAAACACACCAAAAAGAGACACCACGTGTCACGTGTCACGTGTCACACGACGTGTCACACGGGGCCGGAAAGACGTGTCGGAGGACCCGCCGGCCTGTCTTCCGTCTTCTTCAAGTTCTCTTGGACCAACTTTTCCCTCGCCAGCGCCACCTTCTGCTCGCGCTTCAACTTCTCCTCTTCCGCCGTAAGGCCTCGAGTGGCGCCGCGCCCCTTTTTGTGGTCGAAAGGAAAAACCCCGTGCGAGCGGCGCGGTGTTCCTGCGGTTTGCTGCCGATGTCTTGGCTGAGTGAGGCTCCTGAAAACAGGGTGGTCTTTCACTGAATCCAAGCGACTGGACAGCAGAAATACGGAGAACGCAAGGAAGAATCGGCCAGGGGTTTCACCTGCTAGAACTCTTGTCTCTGCGTTTCAGCATCGGATGCATGATGATGCATACTCTAGGGTCATCCTGTCTGGGTGTCCTGGCTGGAGGTCCATACCTGTCTGGCAGGGTCCGTCGTTCGCCAGGTGACCCACCCCCAGACCTGGAATAGTGAATAGTTACATGCATATGCGAGTCATTAGCCATTTTCATAGGGTTGAATGTATATAACAAAAAATAACAACATCTTATCTTTTTGGATGAAAGGTTTCAAGAGTCACGAACATCAAACAGCATCTAACTATTGGTCACACGCATCTTTTATCGCCCTTTTGAAGGCTTTCCTTAGGCTCAAACGCTGGGTGTCAGCCCTTGCAATCTTCACTTGGCTTTCCAGCTCCTGGCACCGATTAAAGGAGCTCAAGACAGGGAAGCTGATGACCTTTGACAGACGTGGTCAGAACACGAAAATCATGGCATTTCAACGCACTCTTATTTTATGTCTGGCTATGTCTGGCCCAGTCAGTGTTTCATCCAGGGAACGAACATGCTGTTCAAACATCACATCAGGTCTTTTTCCAGTGGTTCAGTTTTGGTATTCGGACATGTCGATCAGTCCCGTTTCTTTGTTTTAGGCCACACCTTCTTTGAACAATGGGAGTCAGAGGTAGGCTTTAGGTGTGATGAGCAGGGCGGTTCTGCCAAAAAAACCACCCACCCACTGAGAGTCCTGGGGGAGAACTGGAGGGAGACGCATACCGACACATTTGGAGGTCGGGAACACCTGGACTGGATGGACAAATATGATCTGGCCATGTCAACAGGGACAAACACCCCAAGTGAGTCACATCCCTAGGGATCCGTTTTCGTACCGAACCTCAGGTTCGGTGATGTTTTGGACACTCTTAATGTAGCTTTTGAGGGTCCAGTCGTACCGAACCTCAGGTTCGGTACGACTTCGAACGGATCCCTAGGGACCTGGTGGAGGTGCTCGAGTCACATGGCTCGCTGGGCGATGGCGCTCGTGGGATGCTCGATGTGACGGAGTCCCGGGCGCACCCCAAGGGACCGTCCTAACCGGAGTCCAAGTTCCTGGTTGACCATGAAAACGGAACGACACTGGTGTTTGTAGTCCCTATGGATCCACATACCGAAGATCATTAAGGTCATTGGACCCTCCTGGCGCCTACATAAATAGTCTCCAATCACCTTCTCAGAAGGTATGTGGATCCATAGGGAGTGTCAAATCCTTCGTTGATTCGGGATTCAGCATAGGGCTAATTCATGGTGGGCCAGGAAGCCTATAGGGCTCCATTTGGCACATATCATGACTGGGAACCTAGGAGTTGCCAGGTATGAGACTTGGGCCTCAAGGCGTTGGATGCCTTGCAGATGCCTGCTGTGCCGTATCCTTCCACCCTCGACTCAGTCACTGTGAAGGGCAGGATATCCTGCCAATCAACCAACCTCTCCTGATTCTTGTTGTTCTGTGCCAGCAGGGCACCTTCCGCCGCAGCCACCTGAACAGGTGCAGCATTGAACTTTCAATCTGTACAACATGACTGGGCCAAGCATCGCAAAAAAAAAGCTTTACCTTTGTGTTTAACTGCCTAATATATATAGAGACCAACACTAAAATACCGGAAGAGTCTGAGTAAACATCGAAAGCTAGTATGTAGAAGATCCACCTGATCCACCGGATTCATTCCTTTTACAGGGTCATGTCACAATGTCATGTCTTTCCTTGAAGCTCCGGTCCCGGCCCTCGGCCCTCGGACCAGTCACGCGGTCCGTCCAGAGGACCGCCTTCTGCGTCAAGGTTTCCAGTTGGTTGCGGCAGGTGCGCAGTTCCAATTGAACCTGCCGAGTGAAACAGGGCGGATCACCGTGATTCCCGGTGACCCCAGTTCCATGTGCTGAAGGAACAGTCCCTTATTGGCCCTGAAGTTCCCAGGAACGGTTCATGTCAGACACCTCTGAGTCTGATCTGTCACCTCTTGAAAGGCCTGGGCTTCTTTACACACGGACTTAGGGCCTGAAGGCAGGGTCTATTCTGGACAACTGGATTCGCAGCATTCAATCTCGGGTGGGCCGGGAATTCTTGCGAATGGACCTCAAATGAACCAGTTTATACACCCCCAGAGTACCTGGTTTTAGCGAAAGAGAAAAGCCTTCTTTGCAATGCCTGTCATTCGCCTCGCCCGACAGTCCCTAGATGCCCAGCACCTGGTCATTCTGCTTCATGGCCTGCTGAAGCCTGAAGGGGCGAGCGCAGCGCCATGCGGTATGGTCGTAGCAAATCGTAGCAAATCGGTGAGGTACGAGGCCTCAAGATCGAACCATCGTGTGGATGATGATGCCTGGTTACAGGCCTTTCTCAAACCATCGTGGTGATCTTTTGACTGTGACATGGGAAACACACTCACTGACCATTATGCTCCCAATTCGGAAGACCGTTTGTTTGCTCGTTTTCTGCAGGATCAGCAGGACCCGGCGCCAACCCTCAACCCCTGCTACCCCGGCCCTTCGACCAAGCGGCGCATTCTGCTTCAACTGCAGGGTTTGGCGAATCTGTTGGTCCTTCGAAGCACTCCGTCGTTGAATCAACGGTCCGGCGGCCACGAAGGACTCCGTCATCTTTCGGCTGTGAAAGAGGTGTTTTTGTTCTTGTTTTGCGCCGCTGTCCAACACTGTGCCGAGTCATCCACCTGTAGTGCCACACATGTCGGCAGCATTGCTTTTCCGTGAGGGGGCTCTTGTTGCTAGTCGAGCTATGTCCAGGCAGGCGGCTGTGAATGGTGGCCATGTTGCTCCAAAGCCAGAAAAACCTCCGGCACCCTCCGGCACCTCCGTGTGCAGTCTATATAACTACCATCTTCTTCCACCTGACTCCAACGAACTTCGCCAGTCCCCACGCTGCATGTAAACACGGGCCAGTCCCTCGCTGCTGCCCCGTTCATCTCTTCCTGCCGGCGGGGTCACGGCACGAAGGACGACGGCGAAGGTCTGGTCTCCAGATCACTTCGTCTCGGTCAACCGCTAAATCTCAACAAGCATCCGAAGTGATTGGTGGATGGTCTGGCCTGCCAGCCCGCGTCTTTAGAACATGTTTCTGAACACCCACAGCTTCCATGGAGAGACAGAAAACGGCACAGCCGGAGCTCTGCTGGAAGGTTAAGGCGCAAAGGAAACACTCTTTGCAGTGATGACTGGCACAGAGATAGACAAAGATTCAAATTGCTTGGCACGTATTGTTGTATATTTTTGTTGGTGCGATAGGGAAATTTATAGAACCTGACAGCTACCCACAGATTCCTGCCTGGCGCGTAGTCTGCAGCTCCCTGCCAAACAAAAAGGACATGGACATGGCTGGGTGAATGCCAACCCCCCCCGTGGCCATCTCCTCCAAGTACGACTTGTCAACCCTGTCTAGCAGGGTTCACAAAGTTCACCGGGTTCACCCCTTGTGGGGATCGTCTGGTGCTCGCCACACGCTCGCCCACCTGATGCTCTCGTTTAAGCGCCCGGTGGCCATCGTCAGCTGATCCAGCTTCACCTAGCGTTCCAGAGTGGCCCAATGATCCGCCGGTGTGAAGGAAGGGAAAGCCTTCCGGTAACAGGGAGGGCGTGATCAGAGAGGGGGGGTTTCCCCCAAATGACATGTCAAGTCCCCCCCACTGGGGAAGAGGGGGGTCTGGACATTTGGATGCATATACATGTCACATGCAGTGGGTATTCTTGAAGGATCCAGCCGTTTCAACATGTGACATGCACCCCCAAAATCTCTTGGAGTCCTTCCAACAGCTTCTGAGCAGCTCGACGTACTTGACCCCTTTCAACGGCACATCCCACGCCACGACGCCCCCCCCGACGTCGCAGAACTCGGGCACTGAGACGTTAGATCGCAGAATTGGGACGTTCAGCTGTGAAAGCCAAGGCTGTAAGAGACGACAGAAACACTCACCCAACTCGCCGCTTGCTCAACCCAACTCACCCAGTCAAAAAGCCTGTCAAATGCTTAGTAGTGCTTGGTTCCTTGACATACCCAGGCCCTTGATCCTTCCTATACATCTCTCTCTCTCTCTCTGTGGCCTCCTTCTCCTTGGCTTCGCCTTCCAGCTGCGAGATCCGCGCGCGGTTCTTTTGCTCCACTTCCCTGCGGTTCCGAAGAGCTGCGTCGTTCCCTTTTTTCGTTCGCCGAAACCGGCATCGTTCCAATGGCTGTACAGGGTGGGAGGCTTGCTGTGCATGTTTCTGGAAAAGCTCTTGTGGGCAACGTAACAAATAGAGAATTGGCATGACATAACCAGAAAAAAAAAGCGTATGATGAGTCTTGAATGAAACATGTTTCAGGCATGTCCTAGTTGACGATCCATTTTGAGGCAACTGTTCATGTCTTTTCATCCACTGTTCGTCACGAACATCCCATGTCAGGATCGCCTCCAAGGAGGTTGCGGACGTCTATTCTAACAAACGAGAATTTGAGTCATTGCCCATACACTCCATGGGACTGGCATATATGCCTACATTGGGGTGGTGCCAGGGGGGGTCAATGTAGGCATATATGGCAGTCCCATGGAGTGTCTGGGTTGGAAGGCCTCCAATGACTCCAATTCTCACTCCCTCATCTGTTTTTGACCTGAAGAGTGACCTTCCAGTGACTACATCGTCAATCCTTCCATCGTCCTCACTTTCAATTTCCTCCCTTTTAAATGGTCGCTGAGGTCAGTCATCCTCTCAAACACGAAAACAAACATCATATGCACAGGCTGCATAGTAACGTAGAATATGATGCATTAAACCCCGGGCCCTCAAAGGCTGGAGATGTAAATCCATGTCACCCCTCTGGCCTCGTACATGTTTCAAACACTACCGTGTACATGCGCAGAGAGATGTGTGTGACCATTCGATACTCAGGCGGCCTCAGGTTTCGCTCCAGCTTTCCCACTTGTTCCTCCAACTCGCTGCAGTTCTCCTCGCGCCAACGGACAGTCAGACACCACGAGGTGACCCGAGGACACCAGGGAGAGGACAGGCCGTGCAGAGCGGATGCTTCTTCGGGTCGAACGGTGGAACCAAGTTCAGAACACCCAGCAGATCTCAATTGTAGCTGCAACATGGCCTCCAAGTACCCTTCATCCCTCTTCCTCAAAGCCTGGCAGCATATGTTTGTGACTGACATATTCAATGCATGGTCAATGATGTCAATATGCTCAAATCACTCCCTTGCTCCATGTCGACGTCCACACGGACGTCGAACCCGCAGCTCAACCCGCGGTTGTCTGGGGGTTGTTGGATTGGACCCTGCGATGTTTTCACCCGGGTGTGTCCCCTAGGCCTCCAAGTACCTTCGGAGAAGGTGGGACTGGGGTGGGTGACAGGAGGGTCCAAAGACCTTCTGAGGAGGTACTTGGAGGTGTAGGGGTATATTAAATTGGGAAACACCCTGGCCCAATGGGTAGAATAGTATGTTTTAGTTTATGTTCCTTCTTCCAAGGAGTCGAACTGGAAGGTCTCCCTATTGCAATGCAAACCCAGCTGTATCCTGAAAAAGGAGTCTACTACCTGTGGGACCCCCATTTTACCAGTTTCTATGGCCGGCCTGAGTTTCACGCAGGAATCTCTCCAGAAAAAAACACAACAAACACACCAACAGAGGTTGAAGAACCCTACAAGTATAGACTATCCCATAGCTACTCCAGTAAGGTCCTATAAGGTTACATAAGGTTACTTAACCTCTCTTGGCAGAGTCTGCTCCCCCTCTTCAAGTGACCCCCGTGGCTCTTCGACTCGTTCCGGTCCGTCACGCAAAACGACGTTGCGCTGACCAGGATGGGCTGAACGCCGCCGGTGTCGGATGGGCTGAACGATGAAGCGAACACGAGTGACGAACCGAGCTGTAGCTGTCTTGGAATCATAGATCAACCCCAGCTATTTGGATTGAACAACCTCTAGACTCTTATGACTCTTATGAGTCTACGAGTCATAAGAGTGCCTCATCTGATGATTCAGGAAACCGCCCGGAAACCGCCCGGATGAAGTACTGACCTTGGACTTGGCGGACAGTACTTCAGAGAACTCCAACTTGTCGTTGGCATCGTCGTAGATGGTCTGCGGGCGGCTGACCGCTACAGCGGCCGAGGCCCGAGGAGCGAGACTGCAGGTGGCCGCCCAAAAAGGCCCTCTATAGAGACTGCTTTTCGGAGAGCGAGACTGCATCTATACCCTGGGATTCCCATATATCCATTCTTCAAATGGTCTTTGCATGCCTTCGCCAAATCAGTGTTTTATAGCTAAATTTCACCCTACAACACCAGGTCGTTCTTAGATGGTCGAACAGAAGGCGAGAGGGCCTATGGGTATATACAAATGATGGAATGTTGGGAAACGTTTGTACAACACCAGGTCATTTCATACAGCTGTGAGCGAAAGTGATGACAAGGAAAAAAGAAGACCAGCAGTTCAAAGTGTGTAGGATATTTAGAAATGAATGAATGATCTCTCTTATGTTCTTTATAAAGTATTGTTGTCTCTTGTCATGTCTTTCCCTTCTTTTTCATCAGATCCCAGCAGATCCCACCGGACCAACGAAAGAACGAAACGGGTCAGGGACCGGGTCCGCCACCAGCCGCAAGGACTGGGTCAACGATCTGGGTCAAGCTGTGGTTCTGTTCTGGGTCGCTGCGACTCGTATCGAATCCAGTTGTCACAACATGATACGAGCTGCTGGCAGTTACAGAGCTGCTGTTCTGCCAAGCCTGCAAGGCACGGATGCGTGTCTTCAGTTGATCCTTCATGCCTTGGTTGAAAAAGAACACGTCGACAGCGCTTGGCTTTTCGAGCGCTGATTTGATGACATGACCAAGAACACAAGAAGCAAACTTCGGCTATCTTAGAATTTCAATCAAGATGAGAAGGAAACACCACATATCTTATAAGCATAATAGGTATACTATGGTGTACCTTACATCATCTTACACCGCAGGTGCTGCATCATCCAGCGTTTTTCAACCACTGTCTACCTGCGATGACCCGAGACTCTGGCGCATGTGGGAGTTCAGCTCGTCCTGCGCATGCTTGGCACGACCCAAAACATGCGTCAGGCACGAGGTGCCGGGCCGGTGGGCTGCGCTTCAGGTGCTGGGCGGACACCCCCACGCCGCCAGCGGGGCCAGCGCTGCAGGGAAAAAGCCGATGAAGACGGATGAACATGATGGTACACTGACGAAACCATTCCAAGTTGCAATGACTCGAAGACCTCTTGGGGTGTCTCTGGGGTCTTCGTTGGAGTGCTCACCAATCTGAGCGCTCACGCTTTCCACAAAAGGCTTCTTCTGCGCTGGTTCTGACTATCCTTCGATCCTGAAAAGGAGACCTCTCAGACCTTTGAACCTGCCAGAGTCCTCCAACTTCTTCTTGAAAGCATCGTTGTTCCTTTGCATCTCCGACGTAATCTGGTGCTGCCTGGAAACACATCTTCCAACCAACTCATGGCTGGGCCCGGAAACATCTCTCGTTCGTCTGTGCCCTGCTTTTTGGGGGTTCCGTCACACAGACTTCACCGAAAAAGCGCTTCGATGCACCTCTTCAGTCGCTCTTCCAGCTTGTTTTGGATGGCATCCTGCGCAGCAGCTGCGCAGCTGGGCCAGACGTTTACGGAAGAAATCTGATCCAAAAGAACTGCTCAACCAAACGCTGGTACAAGGGGCCATCTGAGCAGGGGACGCCCAAACACAATGAGTCTGTCTTTTCCCTGTGGCACCCCTTCAGGTTGCTCAATCATGCTCTTACGGCTTTGGGATGGTTTGAGGCCTGCGTTCAACACCACCTGAGCCTGAGACAGGACATGTGAAGCACTTCCGTTTCACGAAAAACACATCAGATATATATACATACATAAGCGTTCCCAGAAACACCCCTGCAGTCCAAATAGCAGGTCATAGCAGGTCGCCTACCACTTTGGGAAGGAACCTGTATCGACTCAGGAACCGTTTGGTGCGTCCGCTGTTCGCCTCCAAATTGTTCAAAAGAGGTGCACGTTGTTGGACAGCGCCTGAAGGTGTGCGCTCGCGCTCGCCCGAAAAAAGGAGGACGGCGCGAGTTAGAAGCAAACGGACGCACAGGAGGGAGGATGGGCGATGTTTCTTGGAGACCAAAGATGGCAGGTCATGGGATCTTTCAGTGGAGAAGGGAGATATGGTCATGATATGACAGGTTTGGTGGCAATGGTCCCATGTCCATAGGTCTTTTGAGAACTCCATGGGCTTTATCAAATGGTTGGCTGCTGGCTGAAGAAAGGTCTCCACCCGGAACCGCTGAGTTCCCAACGAGTTGAGGTCTGGCGCCTGCGCGGCGAACACAGCTGAAGGTAGGCTCTGGCGCCAGTTCTGGCTGCATTATAGGTATAGGTGTATGCGTGTGTGTGTGTGTGTGTGTCACCTCCTGTTCCTAAGGAGCTCTGTCACACCATGTCACACCCAAACCCACCACTGTTCCCATCACCCTTTGTACAGCTCAGCAGGGGGCCGGAGCCAGCTGGGGGGGGGATCCCCGAGTCCTCTCGTCCCGATCGTGTGGGTAGGAACCGAGTCACGCACCGAGTCGGTTTTCCGAACCGAACCGCCTGGGGGGGGGGTTGGAATGCGGGACGATAGGTCACTGGAAGGTCTCCCTAGGACTGAGCTACACACCCGGATTCAGGTCCAAATCTTTCCCAAGCACTCCATGTATGGAATATTTGACCCACCGAATGTATGTTAACATGTCATACATGGAGTTGCGGTTCGAGCTGGTACCTTTAGGCCAGCAGGGATATGATGCATGGGAAAAGTGGACTGGAAAACCTGCCTGGATAGCCTCCCAAAAGCAAAACAACATCCGCGCCTCGGGTGTGACGCTACGGCTCGTTTGGATGTATTTCTCATCTTGGCCCTACAAGGACCTCTGTGTTTAAGTCCAACTTCAAGCAAAGTGTGCTCTGAGACTCACGAGGTCACTACGACCACTTACTGACTGTCACTGGTCTTTGGACCAGCGGAAGTGTGCACTTGGTCGGACAAAAACAAAACAAGCTATGTCTGCAATGAGTCTGCAAACAATGACCATGGCGCCATGCAGCTTGCGCAATGGCCATCACCACGCAACAACACCCACCTTGCCAACCACCACCGACCACCGACCACCGCGTCCTCGGTCACACCACGCTGGGCCAGGCCTCTTGTTGCGTCCCGCGGCCAGGGCGACGGTGCCCAGAGCCAACGGCATCGCCTCGGTAACGACTCACGGAGCCGCTGCGGCCGCTGCGGCAGCGGTTCTTCACAGCCGGTGAGTCACGGGAGGAGGTTGGGTGATGAGTCCGGGGAGGAGGTGAAGCGAAAGGGAAGCGAATTGATGGGTAGGGATGTCCACATCCCTCATGCTTGGTGTTGATGAGTTACTGCTCATGTTTGGCGCCACCCGGGCTGGCGCAGATCAACTTGATGGGCCACGGGCTGGGCCCATTAGCCTTGAACATTGGGGTCAAAGCTTGGATGAGATCATTGGAAGTGGATTTATGAGTGGACATGCTGCCTGCTGCTGCTGGCTGCTTGCTGCTACTTGTTGCTGTTTGCTGCTTGCTGCTGGTTGCCTGCTGGCTGCCTGCTGGTTGTTCGCTGGTGGTTATTTGCTGCTCTCTGCAATGGATGTGTGAATTTGTGAAAGTGAACATTCCAGGTTCAAGAACACGTCTCAGTGCCTATCCCAAATTCTCCGTCTCAGTGTCCTCCGTTGCCGCAAACTTGCTTGGGATCCCGGCAACCGAAAGTGTTGAGGCAGCAGTGCCCTGTGCACGCATCTGGTTGGTGGTTTCAACCCACTTTAAACACATTTGGGGTCCATCCCAAGTAAAGGTTGAGAAACCGCCAACCATGTGTGGGAACGTCCTTGAGCTATACCATATAAATATATGCCTATGTTAGGTTGGTTGAAAAGGGGTCAATGTAGATCAATGTGGCATACATTGGGTACATCCCATTATTATATACCAGTAACAGGGGATGATGATGGTTCGGTTGACTGGCTTTCTCAAAAATAGGGGAAAACACACTTGTCAATTGTCCCACTCTTGCTCGCTGTTACTGGCAATCGGACACACCCTAGGTGTACATCTATAGTCCATTTGACCGGAGAAGGCCATGATTTGACCCCTGGTTTGGATCCTCCAAAACAGGGATCTCACTCAAGTTCTAGGTTCTACTCAAGTTATACCCCTGTCCAAAACAGGGGTCTCCCTGTTTTTAACAGGGGTCTCCCTGTTTTTGATCCTCCTAAAACAGGTCGACCAAAACACATGAAGTCCCCGAATTCAGATTTCTCCTCGCTCTGTCCACGTCCGTCGTCCACGAAAACGCGTAACCCTCTCGTGCAGACTCTCTGCGTCCTCGATCTGGGGGACTGGGTGTCCATGAGCAGGTGGACCTCGGCTGGTTCTTGTCCATTCCTCCAAAGAGATCGAAACGTCAAATCCCTTTCAAAAGGTATTGGACACTGTGCCACTATCTATCTTTTTTCGGGATCACTATATTAGCAGTTCAGGAAGCGACGATTTGGGGCACCATCGTTGTGCGGGACATTCCCCCAACACGGATCACCTATATCAAAGACCATAGGTTTTTACATCGTCTTGGACTTCCAGAGACCATTCCATCAAGAGACTTCCACTCCCACCAATCACGCTGAGACCGAGGATGGCATGACTTTTGGCATGACCCCTGAATCGAACATGGGTACTAGAGATACGTATCCCATGAACCAGCTACATGAGCTTCCTGAATCGAAGCCGTTTTTTGGTTCGGACATGACTACAGGTGGTGTACTCGTTGAAGACTCCATTGGAGTCGTCGGTCTGTGGGGCGGGGGAGAAAAGAATGGCAGCCAGCCACCAGAGCACACCGCCCCGGGAAGAGTTCAGGGAGTGTATGACATGAAACCATGTTAGGGAGTGTATATGAATGATCATTCTCATAAACCACTTTTCAGAGGCATTGGACGCAGTAGGTTCAAAGGCTTTATTGAGGATTGTTCGCGCATCAGCCAGGCCACCCGAGTCAAGGAAGAGAAGGCAAAACTTCTGTGGTTTGGAGGTGGCTTTTGCTGGATTTCCCATGAACAGGGGGGATGCGTTCCATGCTTTTCTTGGTGAGTTGTAGACTTAGCAGTTTGGTGCACCTATACTTGAACACCGAGCAAACGAGTCACCCGTTTAGAATGTCGAAGAGGAGGACGTTGTCACTCGTTTTCGGCCTCGTGCCGTCGTGGTCCTCCCGAAATTGGGATGGTCAGCTGGATGACAATGGACGATTCGTAGCTCAATTGGATTGTCAAAATCTTCTTTCCAGCTCCACCCACATCCACCTGAGAGTCCAGGAACATGACTCATTTGACCCCCATGGTAGTGGTGGATGGATTGACTAGTGACTACCATGCAGGTGGTTTGTTTAAGGAGTAAAATGACTCTGGAGGCCATGCAGGATCACAATTCAAAGCTCAGGTATAGCTCCAGAAGCTATAGCTATGAGTCCTACTATGGTCTCGAAGCGAAGCGAAGCTCGGATCCTCCCGTTCCAACGGCTCGGCCGCCCGGCCAGCTGGTGTGGTCGGCATCAGAAAGGCAGTTGAAGCACCTGAAAGGTGCAAACAAACCGCAAAGCCAAAGGGAAGCCTTTCTTGGAGCCCCAAACGTTTTAACATGTTAATGTCAGTTACTGTAAATTACTATAGTTAGTATAATGTCAACTCAGATTTTGAGTTTGGTTTGGACAGACCACGAACATGGGTTGTTTGGCAACAAAAACAACAAAACACTTTACCTGGTTCTTCAAAGTCACCTTTTCATCCCTGAGCTTGAGGTCGCTGGGCCTGTAAACGTTAACTTAGAGACTCCAAAAAGGTCACTTTGAAGAAGCTGGTATATATCATATCCATTCAGGACACGTCGTTCATTCTCCATGCCGTGTCCTGCGGTTGTGGATAGCCACACCTCTCATCGATCCGATACACCGTCGGGATGTCTTTTCATTGGAGGCGTTTGTTCGGGAACATCCTATGGAAACCCATGGGTTTTGCAGCCAAAACCCACGGGCCTGGCACGGTGCCAGGCCACCAGTTCGGTGTTTTGAGGGCGAACAGGCGAACAGGCCTGGCTCGATCTGGGTAGCTCAGTCCTAGGAGAGACCTTCCAGGCAACGACTCCCTGGAAGAAGGAAGAGGTCTACTCACCCATATCCCCGCCACCCACCCTCGCACCGAGGGTCGCACCGACCACGGCCACGGCCGCCGCGGAGCCCACGGTCCTCCATGCTGCTGGCGGTGTTGGAGGCCAATGTGTTGGTGGGGAGCCAAGTAAAAGATGTGGATCTGGAAATCATTCGCAAGAAGACATATATGGAAGAAACACAAACAAAACCATGGTCCACATTGCAAACAAACACCGTTTTCTAAGAAAACACCAACCACCGTAGTACACCGTACGCCTTGATTTTTTTCGAACACTGAGAAGATCTGAGTGACGTGGCCCCGCCGTCCTGGAAGAGGGAGCCATGTGTTCGGCGAAACGTCGACCAGAACGCTTTGTCTGTCAGGCACGGTTTAAGACTGATCCAAAAGGCGTCTGCGGGTAAAAGACCCGTCTGAGACGAAAGGAGACCTGACAAGTCACCACGAAACGATACCTGCGGATTTTCTCTTCAGAAAGATTTTTATTTTTTTAAAGCTAATTAAGTTTTGTTCAAGTCTTTTTGTTGCACCAACTGTTGAGAAACAATCCAAATACAAACATCATCATTTGTATAAGCTGCAGTGAGAGATTTGAGAGGTTGGATGTTCGATCGATCAGCTTCAGAATGATTCTATTTTCAGTACGAAACATCCTGCAGTCGTTTCTGGATGTCACGGTCTGCACTCAAACACGCTTGCTTGCTTGTTTGCTTGCTTGCTTGCTTGGTTGCTTGGACGTCAAACGCTTTTTGCCGCGGCAGCGCGGTGTCATGTGGGAAAACTCTCATGGTACCCCAGTTCGAGAACTTGAGTACTGTATGGCTGGCCGTGGCACATGGGCGCCCTTAAGGCACTTGGGACATTTGCTCCGCACTTCAGTGTCCGTCCATGTCTCCTGGAACTGTTGCGAAGAACGATCATCATGATGAACGTATCAGCGCTTTCCACAGGCATCAACATGTGGTTCATTGGCTCGAACACTTCCATGCAATATCCTTGACTCGGCTGACAAACGTCTCGTCAGCAGCCAGTTCTGACTTTTGAAGTCAAGCAGTCAAGCAGATTGAAATACTGTACCAAAGAAAAAAACCTGAACTCTTCGTATCTGACTCTGGACAAATAGGACATACGCTTGGAGGTATAGTTACTCCGCTCAGAACTCTTGTCTCAAATTCGAAAGACTCTTTATGCCAAGCTGCCAATCCCAATATAAACCGCCACTTGGGATACGGGGATTTATACGATTGGAACTTGAACCAAAGATTTGGCATTTGGTTGTGGTTTAAGTATATGCGAGACTCCCAGTATCCAGGATCCTTCACAATAATGCTCCGCGATTGCGTTTGGCCAAACGCATTCGACCCTTTGTTCTGAACATGCTTTGGAATAGCCACCCCGAAACAAATGCTTCATTCCAATATGGCGGTACAACTGGCGATACAAGATATCACAAGAAAGACCCTTTACAAACAGGCTAGTCCTTAGACTCTTTGGCTTAATGTATGTAGCCTCTTGATTAATAAGCCCTTCCACTTGAATTGAACATCCTCTTCAAAGAGGGGTATGTATGATCCCCAAAGAGTAATGTAGACTCTTGAAAATCCTCCCACTTGAAAATCCTTGTATTAATTCAAGAGTCTACAGTCTACATTACCCTACAGGTCAAAGACCTCATTTGACTGGGTCTTTGGACTTGTAGGGTTACTTCTTTTGTTTTTTTTCGCCTTTTGGAGATCTTCGTCTTTAGCTCCGCCGCTCGGACGAAGACGAGACCATCGGTCGATGGCCGATGGTCACACCTGTTAACCCGTCGGGTCGTGGACGGTCAGCCCGACGCCACGTGACGGACCCATCCGAACCCCGTTCTCCGTGTTATAGGCCGAAAAGGGTTTAGGGAAGAAGAGAGAGAGATGTGATCTACTGCAGTTAAGACTGTAGGATACTATAGGACCTTTTTTCTTTTAAAGAAACGGGGTAACCCAAGACCCCCTCCAGAAGATCCCAGATGGCTAGCTGGCAACTATCACTAACAATTACCAGAGACGATATTTCGCTTCGTTGCCGCACAACACTTGCCCCAATTTCTGTTCTCCCCAGTTCTCCATCCCTTCCCTAAGGATCCGAGTACCTCCTCAACAGGTACTTGGACCCTTCTGGCCCACCCCAGTGCCACCGAACCTCAGAGGGTACGACTGGATCCTTAGGGCTTGTGATGATGTCCAGAAAATCCCTCCGTGTTCATTGGCCATACCTCCGGACCCGCTCTCTGGCCCGCCCCATCAGAAAATGGTCGCAGAGGAGGCCGCTTTGTCGGCGGCGGTTTGCCTCAGCCGCCGAGTCTTGCGGGCCGACGTCCTCAGGGGCCGAAAGAGGTCTTGTTCGTAGTAAGAATGCTACTAGTGGTACTGCCAGGAGCCCCTAGTAGCGTCCTTGCTCCTAGCAATAAGGCCAGGAGCCCCTGGTAGCTTCTTGTTCCTAGGCCTCCTGAGCAGGACCATTTCATTCCCTCTACGTAATTGGTGCAGTGGGTGGGGGGGGTACCAATTCCATTGCCTGGTACATGTCCACTTTTTGATGCAACCACTCAGTTTCGGGAAAACCCCTCCCCCCCCAAAAAGGACACGTGCATGGTTTTGCAGCTTCCCAACTGAACTTCCGGGTAACCACTGTCCTTAGGTGGACAATCCAACAACCCTCACCTGACAGGTGGGGAAAAGAAAAAACAACACGTCCCAAACACTTCTCCCCAACCGGGCGCCATGGTTTTCCCACCACTTCTCCCTCCCATTTCACACCAAAAACGTACGTCCCGAACACCGTCTCAGCGGCCAGGGGAGCTTGTAACCTTGGTTGGCCTTCGCCTCGGTGACCACTCCGACCCGCCACGTACTCGCCCCGTACCGACGGCGGTCCCGCGCGCGGCGGGGTTGTCCGCGGCGGGTTCCGGGACGGGTGTGCGGCGGACTGCGGGGGAACGACCGTTGAACAGACATGACTAATGGGACTGCCATAGGACTGCCGATCAGTTGGGCCCTCTGGCACCACCCCTGGCCGTTTGGACTGCAGTCCTATGGCAGTCCCAGACGGGTCGTGTCTGGGGTTGAACTGCGAAGTGAGTCTTCGTTGAACAGCAGTCCAAAGAAAGACAGAAGGACCGTCTGATCGGATTTTATAGCGGATTTTGGGTGATCATATGTCATGGCTTCAGGATAGATCTTGGAACCACGGGGTTTAAAGGTCTATTGCCCTGGCTTTGAAGAGCTCTGTTTCGGATTTTAGCTGAAAAATAGCACTCTGAACTGCGAAGATGTCTCCATCTCATCTCCAAGCTGGACACTACGGGACAGGAATTACTCGAACGTTCGGATCACTGACTTGGGTTCAAGGACCATCTCCATCTTCCAGTCGGTTCCCAGCACCTTTTCTCCCAGAAAGGGACGCTGTGGGAGGGCCGTGTTTCCAGCGTTTCTGGTGAGACAGGACCCTGACAGCGTCCCTCTCTGTTTTCTCCTAGATCTTCTCATCCAAACCACCTAATGTAGAACCTTGATTGATCCAACCCCCGATATGAAGAGGTTACTGAAGAATCCAAATGAAAAAAAACACATATTATCATCAACATTTGACATGTTCATCATTGTTCATCCGCTGAACGGGAACTCCCTTGATCCCAGTTGAGCCTGTTTGAACAGAAACATGTTGTTCTAAACTCCACTACTGTGCGAATGAGTCAGCTCGCTATCCACTTCTGTTTGAGCGCATCTGTCACAAGCCCCCCTCAGACCATCTGAGCCAAACCTCTTTTCATGTATAGTCATCCTGGGTCCTGGAGTAGATAGAATATGGAAAAAAAAACGACACCCATAGAAGAATGACCCTGTTTCTTGTTCATATTCTATCTGATGCTATCTGGTCCAGGATGCTTGTAGATGAACACATGAAGACTGTAGGTTTCTTGTCTTGTGTTCAATTGTGGTGTGAAGTGGGACGCAGGATGTGGCAGCCACAAACAATCAGCAGCCGGAAAAACCATACGGCATGCATACGTCATGCTGCATGGGTTCGGCTTGTCGGACCTAAGGTCTGGCCAATACATCGAATGACTAAGGACCACGTCATCACCCAGTTGGATGGATTGGTTTAAGGACACCGGGACATGCCAATACCCGTTTGGGATCCTGCCCCACCTCCGTTTCGGTTCTATGGTTGGGGTGGATGGGCGCGTGAGGGGGGTCTGTTTCACCACCGAGCTGGCCTGGAGATGGGCCAGCCCCACAGGTTTTAAAACATCTTGGATAGGGAATTCATTGGGTCTATCCTATTGCCTGTAACAGTGGATTTTTTCCGCTTTGCATCTTAACGAAGTGAAATAGAGTGGTATTCACTTCCAGACAGTTGGTCAGTGTTCACGTACCAACAGCCTAATCAGAACAAATTACAAATTGGAACACGAATGCGTCAATGCAAGGCTGGCATGCAAAAGTAAGGACCAAGACGTCCATGGGAAGTCAATGCTCAAATGCGTGAAGAAAACTTCGGTGCTGCTGGTCCAAAATACAACGTACAATTTGGTCAAAAGACAAATTCAGAGACTCTGGGTGTTGTGGCACGGGCAAACCAGAAACACGCCAATGCAGGTTGAAATGTCTGGAAGGCGGTGAGGCCTGTTTTAGATAGGCATCCAGGGCTAAAGCAGAATCAAAGCCAGAAGCAAGTTTCGGTCTCCCCTTCAGGGCAGGGAACCAACCTCTGATGCCAATCCAGTTTAGCTCATCTGTACGATCAATCTTTTCCCGGTCATGGCCAAAGGGATACACGCCTTGGGCGTGAAGCCACTTGAGACAGAGAATGAAAATTTTTGACTGTGCCGCCAAGGTCTGAGGACCTTTTGCGTCAGCTTCTTTGGAAACATCTTGTAATCTAAAATCAGAAACCCCTTTCCAAGAACGAGCTTTTCCGGGGGCCATGTTGACTGGAGCAATTGATTTTGTTGTGACTGAGAAATCTAGGTACAATTGTGCAAAGGTAATACGAGTAGAGCATGAACAGCTCGGCCCACACCAATGCAATTGTTTGGCCCACCAAAGTAACCGAAAACAAAAGATAGGATGGTAGGGGCACCTTTTGCACAGTTCAAGATCAATGTCAAAATTAACACTTTTGGAACGGGAACATGGGGCCCACTTGAGCTGGGCAGTAGCTAGGACATCAGCTGATTGTATACGACCACGTGTCTGGTTGTCAATTTTGTTTTTCTTTTTATAAGCATTAATGGAGTCCACCCAAACAGCAGCAACGTGCCTGTAACAGTGGATGATGATGGTTAGTAGAGGCCTTGTCCAAAATAGTGATAATTGTTTACTGACTGTTACAGGTAATAGGACAGACCCAAGGAA